GCAGGAATGGATTAATACAATTCCGCAGGAGGGTAATAAAGAAATAAAAACATGTTAAAAAGTCATAGGAGACAAATTTTTGAGGAAAAAAGTGTTTATTCGTATTGTAAAAAGTGAAAACTAAATGTATTCTTTATTTGTAACTGCCTCAGGCAAAATATCTATAGAATTTGTTCATACCTCTGATTTTTGTCTACATGATAGCATTTTAGATCTTGAACAGTTAATTCAGATTTATTTCTCCATGTCCTTTATGTACAACGAGAGATTCAGATACATGGCTTATCCAAATATAGACTGCAGAAGAACCAGTTGAGTCTCTATTAGAAATACAAGGTTTTGAAACACTGTAAGTATAAAACGCTGCAGAACATGAGATCTCTGCCCCCTTTTTGATTATTTTCTTCCTCAAGTTGGTGCTGGACATGAATTTTGACTTAGCAATACATTGAACTTTGGCTGTTTTATCACCAAAATCAGGGTTCTTTTTCCTTTTCTCAGCCATCTAGAAAAAGTCAACGTCAATATATCGTAGGTATTTTGTACTGTTACTAATCATAGCCATCACTATTAAAACCAGAGATGGGTCATCTGAATCCAAGAATAAAGAGGCATTTTAACTGGCATAAAGGTTTAAATAATAAGTTATGGAAAGATACACACACCCCACCCTTATTTACTTACATGTTTTAAAACTTTTATTCCTCTCTGTTCTGTGTATTGGTCTGGCAGAATGCTCTGGTTTGAACATGTAGATCAACAAGAAAAACTACCAAGCCAACCTCTTGAAATGAGGCGAGCCCCAACAGATCAGGGATCAGCCCAAGTGGCTACAAAGCTTCTGCAGACTCCTGTGTCTTGGTTTTCTTTCTATGTTGTTTTAGAAATAGTTGCTCCATCCAAGGCAGGGCAAGGGCAGTACATAGGCATTTTACTCTCCAAATCATGCAGTACGCCTGTGTAGAAACAACCCTAAAGAATACACTTATCACCGAATTGTCTAAGTGAATAGCTTTTTCCTGGAATAGTTGAAGCTGAAGGAAGGCTAAGCAGGCAACTCTCCCTCTACTTCTATATGTTCCTAAGAATGTAGACAAACCTTTTCAGGGGGAAGTTGGATTTAAATAAAGTTGTGCCTTCATCTACATATAGCTCTTTGTAATTTATTTGGTGATTTAGTATGTTATACTAACATTTATGCCAAAACAGGAAATATACATGTATGTGGGGGGGTATTCAACCAGTTTATGGAAAAGGCGTGCTACGAAAAAACTGCATAGATTCAAAATCTTTTGTACCAGAAATGAACTTGTACTTTCACTCCATATTTCTATGAACTTTTGAGTCCTCTCATAGTTTCTACTAACTACATAGACTGTCTCCCAAGGCTCATATGACATTGGTGGCCCTTAGTTAAACTATAGGAATTCTGAGTCAGTAGGGAACTTCTCACTTTTGAATTTTGAACCAGAAGAATGTATTAACCACACACAAATTAATTAATTAAAATTAAAAAAAGAATAAAGCAATTTATGGACCCCCCCCCAAAATATGTGTGAAAATATTTTTCTTAAAAAAGAAACATTTTTTGCAGTTCCGTTCTGATCCCAATAACTAAGCCTATTTGTTATAAGCTCTTACTCAAAGTTTAAAGCATTAATACATACATCTCCTTACACCCTAAAATGGTGGCCTTTTCCAATGTGTGTGATGGTGCCAAAATATAAGAGGCATATTCAGAGATAAATGTACTGAAATATGTGCATTTATAAAACTTAAAATACAACACAAATTTAAGGTCTCTTAAAAATGGACACTTTGTGCGCATGCAATGATATATTTAAACTCAAAATGGAGGAAAATGTCAAACTAGTGTCCCTACAACTGCTACACTCTACTGTTAGACAAGGCTTTTTAATAACAATAAAACACACCTCTTTCTACCCATGTGATTGCTACTAGTAGAAAAATGTCTTAGCACAAAGGTGGTGTGCATTTACAAAGCAACAACTCTTCTTTACAAACATTATTTGGAAGAGGAGACCAACTCTTTACTTTTGTGGAAAAAAAAAAGTTATCTATATATTTTTACCCAGTGTGACAGGTGTCCTGTCTCAATTGTTAGCTTAAATGTAAGCACTTTAACTTTATTCATTTTCAAGGAGGCTGGGGAAAAATAACCATAATATATACTTTGTGATGATTTAACAAAGGCACTTATGCTTTTAAGAATTATCTGCAAACTATGACTATACATTTTGACCCAAGTAAGGATTTTATGTGGGAGAATACTGAGAATTTGCTCAGAGATTAATTTATATACCAGGCATTTTTAAAGATTTTATTGATATTATTGAGAGTAAATAATTATATACTTTGAGATAATTAAAATTATATCAATATAAGATAATTATACTGTATAACTTTAGAAAGTATCCGTCATTTTCCCCTCTGTATCGGAACAAATTAGTATCTGGCTGGTTCTATCACTAAGAGAATTTACTGTGCTTTCTTCAACTTTTTATTCTTTTATTTCCAAGATAAAAAAGTTTTATTCTGTAAAAAAAAAAAACCAATATAATAAGCCAAGAGTGAAAAAATAAAACAAAACAAAATTATAATATTTCAAAAACTAAAGTTTTGAATAGTCAAGACTTTTTAAAATTTAAAAATATTCTAGGTATAGTCTCAGTAACTGTATGCAGGCTGATGTGCCCAAGAAGATGTCATAGAAATCTGTGTGCCAAATTCTGCTCCTTGGTAGGCCAAGGCCACATAGAAGACCCAGGTTCAGTTCCCTGTTTACCTTACAAAGTTGGGCACAGTGGTGTGTACCTGTAGTCCCAGAATCTTGGGAGGGTGAAGCAGGATGATGACAAGACAGCAAGACTCTAAAATACCACACCCACACCCACATGCACATGTTCACCCACACACAGAGCCCCTCTACACACAATAGATACTTGTTTATGATGTAAAATACCCAGAATTCCTTGTATTTAATACTTTGTGATTATGGCTGTAAGGGGCAGGTTTTTAATCTAATTATTCTATGGCCATACCAACAAGGCATAGATTTGGATATTGAGAAGTTACTGCTTAACTTCCTTTGAACATCCTAATAGCAGCTTTCTAAAGAAGTACCATTTGTTGCCTAGACTTCTGTGGCAAGTTTCCTATAATCAAATAAGTGGTCATGACCTACAGTAGCATAATAACAGACATATTCATCACCACTTCCTTAATTCCATTAATAGTTTTTTTCCTTCACATCAATCCTCATTCCATGTAACACATAACGCAAAACCTGCTGCCCAGCAATTCCTTTTGGGACCTTTAATGATACACATAATGATACTAATTACTTAATTCATCCTAAACTTAGTCTGATATTTGTAGAGGAACAATACAAATAATGCATCAAAGGTAATTCTACTACTGAGAGACTCTCAATATCAGACTTGTCAAGGATCTAAAGGATTAGATCATCTAATCTCATTTGACAAATGAGACTACCTGAACATAGAGTCTATTTCTGGTTCAGGTGCTGGCTTTAAATAGATTATAAATAAATCCCACATGTACTTAAAACTTTCTATTC